ATGTTGTATGGCTAAAATACCGGATATTTTAAATAATTTAGCATGTTGTATGACTAAAATACCAGATATTTTACATAATTTAATATGTTGAATGGCTAAATTACTCGATATCTTACATAGTTTAGTATGTTGTATGGATAACATGTTTCAATTGACAGAAATTCCAATGCACCCAAAATTAAGAACAAATTAAAATGTGCATGTAAACAAACTTGATCATGTGGACAATATGTTTGAAGAGTGAAAAGGCATATAGTATGTGAAAAAGTAGTGCAGGTGCGATACATAAACAAACAGAGGACAGATCCCTATTCCCCAGAAAACGCGTATTGTCCGTAAAATCTTTAATTAGATATCAGAATGTCTGCATGAGCATCCATACTAATATGTCTAGCAAGGCTAGTTGCTTTAATTTTGACGCCATCCACATTTCCTAAATTAGTTATTAGCAATTAGATTCAGAGTATTGGTTTCTTTTTTTTACGCATCAACTAGTAAATGTGGCCATTTATGTAGTTTATTTTCAGGAGCTATCGCAATAACGTTTTCATCTATTAGTTCATACTTTTTATTGAAAATCTTGGTCCACAGAAAAGACTGGAAAGCTGATAGCCATGTGACAAAATAATCTTTATATTGTATACGATAAATATAAGATTTAGTGCAAACAACATGTTACTACATTGAGCATCTATCTAAATTATGTTGGGGCCCCCGATGGGCGACTGGTCAAAAGCGCTCACCTTTACCGATCACTGCCATTAGACCTCTCTCTCGGGACAGGACAGGGTGGTATGTGAGAAAGGTAACCAGTAAGTTCCCATAGGTCTGTGATTCTAACCTGGTCCTTCCCAGGTTATCATCCGTGCTGGTTGCTATTCATAGCAAATCACGTTCTGTGTTAAAGACCAAGCAATAACAAAAAAAAAAAAAAAGCAAACAACAAAATCATAATATTGTGAGGTTCGCATAAGCAAAGGTTTGTGGGGGATTTTTTTTTTGTCTTTCAAAAACATGCATTCCTATATAAAAACATATGCTATTTCTTAATATAATATTGAACATAACTGATCACAGATGATTCTTTTTGAAATCAACATGAGCATCGGACAAAAAGTAGGCATTTTATAAATATCTACATTTTGTTTTTATTGGATTTAAAGTTTTAAATGGGTAAGATAGTTATCATGCAATATTTTTTTGTGTTTACTTCTCAAATCAAGCTATACGCAGTGATTGTCTTGTAATTAGTGTAAACATGTATGTTAAAAAATTGTGTACATTTATTACTCTTCGAAATAATATCTGGTGGATTCTGTAAACTGTTGTCTTGACGGGAAGCCTTCGGAACACTCCAATATTTACGTTTAGCTTCTATAGTCCGTTTTTTTTAAATACTGAATTCTTAAACGTTTCTGGATTACTTTTTCGACTGTTTTATAAGCAGTACAGTAATAGCTATTATTTTTGTTCGGAGATAAATAGGCGTGACGTTAGTTAAAGTTGTATGGGCTAAAATGCCTACGTTTATTATCTTTAGCTCTTTAGTTATACAGGAAAGCAAATCCGTTTCTGTACTTATCACAACCAATTCTTCGCAGGTGATTTTAAGGCAATGGAATCAAACTGTAAGCAAATATTTCAATGTTAATAGTTTTGGTTTTTGCGCTCCCTCGCTTTAGATGATGTTACAAGTGTAATTGTAAAAGAAGAACACAAAATACATTGAACAATAGCATGTTAGTATCAGGTGCTCGTTGTGTTTTTGAAAACGTCTTTTATATACCTGGACCTTTTAATTGCGTTTGTGCATTTCCTGCAGTTGATTTTTCTATTTAACTTTCATTATACCCAGTTCAATCCAGACAGCTGCACTGTCCCAATCTTTAGCGTGTTTGATTCAGAGTGTGGATACGAATTTTGTCATGAGACTATCGTAAATCCGCTACCATGGTGTGGGAAGGAACTTGACTCTAATTGCCTAGGTACTAAACCTACTTGTGTTGCTCTCCCGTAAAACACCAAACATAATGGCCCTTGCTCGATTCTGTTCGCTCCAACATAAATAGATAACATCATAATTATAAAGTAAAAATCTTTGGTCCATTCAAATTGAAAATATAATCGCTTCATTGTGACATGATGATGTCTTTAACAAGCATTCTACCCAAAATTTTTTTTAGTGGCAGTGTTAGCATCTCCTTTTACCTTCATATCAAATAATATTAACACGACCCGGTCTGTTTGGAGTTAGCTTTAGTGTTGCTAGTTGTAATGTTTATTAGGAGTAATGCTGATCGAAGTAAATGTGATATATTGATGGTCATAGAACACCATAATTTTAATATATAGTCTCTACATTTGTTTCTCAGTACTGAACTTTCCACTGTGGGACAATGCAAATCATGTTAATCTAAAATACCTTCAAAAATGACTTTACGGTGAAGTTCTTGCCAAGGGATGATCTGCATTTTTTTGAGAGGCTGAATTGTAAACAAAACACCATGCAACGGAACAAAGATCTCGCTTCCGAATCATCACTATGGCCTTATTACTCAATGTGCACTGTTCCCCATATACACACAGACAACCCTACCATAAGCTCACATTCTAAAGAATAAACAATTTCCAATAAATCCTTACCATGAATGCCAAAATATAATTATTGTACCAACACCAAATGGAGACCGGAAAAAAATAATCTAAAAACAGACTGGGACTACATTCGTGGGTACTGAACTGGAAATTATTAATTGTGTACTGATTCCTGATGTAGTTGATCAAGGTACACAACTCCTTGTGGTATCTTTTCTGCCTGGATGGAGGTATTTATAGACGTGCATTTAAAGTTGTTCTAAAACAAAAGGCACCCGCTCTTTCGATTGAAAGAAACATCGGAGACTTTTTAAAAGCATTATTGTTAGCAAGATATACACTTGTTCCCATCACAAGCGATCATAAATATCCGTTACCTTTTATGAAGTTATTTTTCAAATTCTTTACAAACTATACCTTCATCTAACCTTTTGTTTTTGCTATCAGGGGCCCTGAATGGCCGAGTGGTCTAACGCGCTAACCGTTACGGATCACTGCCATCTTACCTCCGTCTGTGTGAGTTCGAGTCCAGACTCGGCTAACGTGGGTAAGTGAGAAAGCCTGCCAGTAGCTTCTGGTGGGTCGGTGGTTCTTCTCGGGGTTTTCCAGGGTTCTTCCTCCACCATTAATACTGGCCGCCATGTATAGCCTATCTTGTGCTGAAAAATGGCGTTAAACCCTATACCAAACGTTTTTGCTATCGTCATTTTAATTGATAAGTAAAATTTGTAAGATAATCAACGTAAACCCAAACAAATTTTACGTGCAAGATGATTTCCAACAAGACAAGTTAAATCATAAGTTTTTAACTTTGTATGAGGTGAAATATAGTGATATATTGAATAAATGAATGAAAGCCAAAACATTGAATTCGATAGTTTTAAACATAATCAGTATATTTTATGAGTAAACATCATCAAAACTTAAAGACGCAATAGTGCAGCTGAGAATCAGTTTAGATAATTTAAACCAGTGAACATATTTAACAAACTAGATATCAGCTAGTTCCATAACAATTACATCTTCAACAGTTCTTTCCTTGCCAGCTGATTGAATAAACGCACGAGTACTAGCGTACTGGTACCATGAGTACCCTTGGTACTAGCGTAATGATAACAGATTTTACAGTTTTTATTATAGCGACAAATACTCGAAGAAAAAACAAATGGATAAATATTATTTTAATTATTTTTAGGTTCCTCATTGATCTATTGTCGGACTTTTGAAATCAAAATGTTGGAAATTTATTAAACTAGCATACCACGATGAAGGGAATCATAGCTTCAGTGACGAAAACAAGAATTATAGTGAGGTAAGCAATTTCGTAAGATTTTATTCCGTTGTCTTTGAGTTCATTTTGTAAAGTGTCCACGTTGTAGGGACATTATCTAAGCATTGATTTAAAACTTTATATTATTTAATTTGAAAATGACTTGAAAGTTTAAGTAGTCATTCCTAACGGTTGCACGCGTCTTCTTGATTTGTTTATCGCCAATTTTCCAGCTCTTTATTAATAAAGAATTTGACATTTTGTCTGATTAAAGTTGAATTTGCGATAACTATGTTCAGTTTTATTTGTATTCTTCGATTCCTGGTCCAATTATATTTCAAGCTGGACTTTGTCCATTTCTCCTTTACTAAAATAACTACGACATATATGATGGAGAAGGTTGTTGTGAAACGAATGGTTTATAAGCGTTTATGATGTTTATGCTGATACTGGTACAAAATAAATGCACGATCAAATTCAAGTTGACAATACCGTAAAACTACCAATGAGATAATTATATGCCTGTAACTAATATTGTAGCAAACTTCTACACAAATGAATTAAAACTGGAGGAATTATTCTCAAATTCTGGTTATTCTAGACACCGAAAGAAATGACGCAAGAGGTGTAAACAGACATAATAATGGTAAAATATGACTCATATTCAAAGGCAGAATCGATGGAACTATTTATTGAAGGATCAAACAACATAATGAAAAAAAACCCCAACCTGTTATCACCTAGTTAAATAGATAGAAGATCGGAGGATCAAGTATGTTGCTACAATTAGTTTTTGAATCAATGGCTCAGGAAACAAATTCCTAAGCGCTCGACCAAGGGACGAGTGAGTTGCTAGATTTACTACACCCTGTCTTCGTGGTAATCAGCACAGAACACTTTTCCACTACACTACTTAAACTTTTACTACAAAAATAAAATAAAACACATGCAAGATTCATACTAAAATACGTCAAAACCTTGACAATATTATGTTATAATACAATGCTATTTTAGGCAAACAAAAATGCACAAGGTTTGTAACTCGAGAAATGACAGTTGCACATTGAATTTATTAAATGTATACAGTTAAATGTGTCAGTATTCTATGGGTCATCATTTTCCTTTTCGAGAAACCGCTCCGGTGGCCTAGTGGTTAGAGCGTCTGCCTCAGATGCGGTAGGTTGTGGGTTCCATCCCAAGTCGAGTCATATTAAAGTTATACAAAAAATGGTACTAACAGCTACCTCGCTTGACGCTCAGCATTAAGAAGTTAGAGTTAGGACTGGTTTTCCTGGTGTCAGGATAATGTGACTTGGTGGGACATCATGCTACATGTCTGCAGCATGATGTCCCAGTGTTAGACATCACTATAAACTGCCACACTGCAGACATCGTAGCGATATGATTGAAAAATTGTTAAAAGCTAGGTTAAAAATTATAAACACCAACACACCACACTTTTTCAAAAGGCTGTCACTCATCTTTATAGATTATGATTTTAGGAAGTTAGGAGACATAGAAAATGCTAACATAATTTTCGTCTGGTCAGACATTGCTGCCTTGGTCCCATGTCGAGGGTCATTTCAAGACTTTGTATTAATACACAATCACTCCAAAATAAAAACACCAATTTTTTTTTAAATATAAGTTTGTTTTTAAATTTCGCGTGACCGGTGTCAGTAACTCAGGCATTCAGACACAAATTAATATTAATCTTAATATTCATTTCATTCCATGCATAGTTTACAAAACTTTTTCCATCACTGACTTATAATAATCCAGACTGGAACATACAGCAGTGTCTGACAAAAACAAAATTGTGAATATTTGATATGCCTTAGAAAAATAATTAAAATTTTCTAAGATAAAATATTAAAGACCTTTCCTATTTTGACTTTTTAAAATTCTGAACACAATTCTTTCTAATCGACAGCGATATTAATTCGATAGTGAATTTATTAGTTTCAACTCTCTGTACTATAATATGTGTAGTAGGACAGTGTCTCGAAACGCACCGAAACACCAGAACACACCGAAACGCACCTCATTTATAACGTATGTATACCGGTAATTCATATCTGAAATTTTATTATTTATATAATAAGTTATTATGTACCTTTGTATTTAAAGTGATACAACTCAAACTAATAAGAAACTAAAAATTGCTTACTTTTTTTAAAAAAAAGTAAATTAATTGGAATATTAACAGCGTGTATTGCAATGCATATATGAGTTTAATGCTTAATGTAATAATAATAATAATAATAATAATAATAATAATAATAATAATAATAATAATAATAATAATAATAATAATAATAATAATAATAATAATACCATTTTGATAATTAATATAATTTTAATGTAGTTATTAATAATTACATTTTTCTTATTATCTTAAGTTCCGGAATGTGAATATCTTGCGCCAACCAGCAAGTTAAACAGCTGTAAAGTTTAAGTGTAACTTTCATGAATAATACGCAAACAAATATTTTTAATGGTCTGAATGCAAAGAAACGTGCAAGAAGGGCGTGTCAAATCATTTCCTTATTTCGGTATTTATATCACAACAAAAGTTGTTTGAGCACGATTCGGAGCAGTTACATTTTCCATACTGATTACCGTTACTGGTATATAGAACAAATGTATTAGCTAATAGTACATAGTACACCACTGGTTGGCTACTGTATGCTTTCAAGCATATCGACAGTCTTTCATTAACCGTTTTTTAAACCTATTCTGCTATTGGAGGAAGAGAACTGAATAATATATAGCTGCAGAAATGGGTTTAATACACAAGGACATTTTTTTTGAACATTCGTCCCTTAAAATATACTAAGTAATTAACACGTTGTACTGAACAATTTTCTAGTACAGGTCGTGTGTCTCGTTATCATACAATAATTAGTTTTATAATTAAAATGTGTATCAACATGCATGGCCCACATTATACATCTTTGGTTGATATGGCTTGGAGAAGAAGGACCATCCTCTTACAGTATATACATGTTCATGTATACTATTGACATAGCCAACCATAAAACTATAATATAACTTTTATTAATATGAAATTTGAATATGATCACAAATATGCGGACACTTAAATTTATTAGCAATCAAACAGTGAATTTGCAGAGTATACGGTTTTAAAAATCAGTCTAATGACAGTGAGCTGATTCAAACATACATGATGGTTTATACACTGGATCTCGGAAGTTACCATGCAACAAGTGCGTTCGTTGCAATATACCATATCTAAAATTATTCTATTTGTTTGTCTTAATATTCTTATTTATAATTGTTTTTTCATTTATTTTAAATTTTCTTTGCCCTGGTTTCTTTCCGTGTGTCCTCGAGCCACGAATTCTGACTGTCTGTGTGATGATGTCGTGAATTTAATATCTATAAAAATGAAGTTTTTGAATTTTTTGTCTTTGTTCGGTAGTTTGTGGCACATGCACCTAATATGTTTTTGTAGTGGTGTTCACCAGGACCACAGTCTTAATTTCAAAATGAGGCTTACAATGATTATGTGACAACAAAAACGATATGACATGCATGAATAATCAAATGCTATAAATGATTTCCTGAATAGGTTGATGTTTTAACTGTGATGTATCATTTGTGTATATCTATCAATTCAGTATGACCAAATGTGTTATTGACTTTAGTTACAAATTCTAGTCAGTATTAATTATTATTTTAGTCATGGTGTACAAGGTGGGGGCATTGTAGGTACCACTTATTAATATTAAACTAAGAAAAAGCTCATCTGATCATTAGTTTCAAGTCTGTAGAAATACACAATACAAAATATTATATGGACATGAAAATAATGACAAAATTTGATTTACTTTTTAACCTGGTTTTCATCCACATTGACTAAAAACTTGTGAATGAAATGGTTTCTTAAACCACAATTTTAATCTTAGCACAAAACAACACAAAAATATAAAGTATCTAAGAAGACTGTACTTTGACGAATAGAGACTATAGAATTGTGTACTAAAAACAAAGAACTGATGGAATACTAAGAATAATATGTACTAACAAATAACAACAAATTGATTATTATTGTTATAATATCTCATATACACTACCCTTAGACAAATATAAACGACTTTGCAAATATTTGGGAAATTATGTAAAACAACTTAATTTTAAGAATTTGGTCCAAGGTTTTAATTATTTGTTGTACTTGTTAGAAACACATCCTCTGTGTTCAGGTAACATATTTTATTAATATCAACTATGTTACAAGTAGATGTTTCTGATGTATTTGCATATTCAAAATGATAGTACTCAAGTAGTGTGTGAACCCTCACTCAAATATAATTAAATGCACCATACGAAAATCTTGATCGTCAAGTTATTTGATTATATTCAGAAAGTCACCGTAAATCTCTATAATTAAGACTCAGTTGGTAGTGCAAGTTTGTGTTTTTTTAGATGTTTACAAGATACCCCATCAAATTAACAAAACAGTTTTAATCCTTGGATTCAAATACCCAATTTAGTAAATTGTTATCCACAGCTACGTCAATGTAAGTAAATGTACGCAATAGGGTTTACTACTGCTAGTACAAAATCTGCTTGCTATTATTCCACCTCGGGGAAAAATAGTTTAGACTTCCTAATTAAATATATTTTTTTGGGGAAATCTTTTATATCCCTAATTAAAGGAAAAGTACTTACGGCATCCGAGTGTTCAATCTCCTGTGAGTTTAAAAGGGGACCAGGCTACAATTAAGAAAACAATACTAGTCAAATTCTTAGCTTGGGGTACTCGGGCAGAGGGTCTGGGTGACCTCCTGAATATTTGCCCCAAGGGGTTTAGATAAGCTCTCAAAACAGAGGTAATTGGCTTCAAATTACCACCCTAATCCTAAAACTCAGCGTATCTATGTATGTGCAATAATTAAGCTTGGAGTATAGATGAGTTTACCTCTAGACTGAATCTAACAGTTAGATTATTACGAATGAAGAGAATAGTGCAGCATATTGGACGTACTAAAAATAAAAATTAAAGGTAGGTGTTTTGATTTTATATATTTTAGGAATAGGTTTAAGGAAAAAAGACTAAATTTAAACAAACTACTTGATATTCTTTTTTAAAAACCGATACTTCGTAACATACATATATATGAGGGTAAACTCGAACTGACATCTTGCGCGTTCTAATCAAAATATTCATGTACATTTTTATGCTAAAAAAAATGCATCTGCACGACATTATAAATTTAAGTCTGCTGATCAGTATTGATTTATAAAAGGCGGGAGCTCAAGAAAAAACGACCGTTCTCTTCGGCAGCTATTTGGTCTTTTTTACGATATGTTTACAAGGTGCAAAATGACAAAGACTGTACGGTATCCATGATAACTATACGACGGTATCTCGCAAATAAAAATCATTATTTTATAATACATTCTCCGTGAGTGCAAATGATAATCTTTTCGCTAGCACAGGTTACAAAAGTATTATTAAAGCAAGTTATTGTTGTGTAGGAAACATCAATAATGATTGCAAAAGGCAAAAAAGAAGCCCGGATGATGAATAAACACAACTGGGAGCAGCAATAAGCTCCTTGCTTAAACTTACCGACAGGATATCAAATACAAATGTTATTTTATTACGAAGCAAAACAAATTCTGAAACTGAATTTTTGGTCTCTTTTAAGTGTGTCGATTTTTTCTTATGAAGTCTTATGACATAATGAAGCCAAGTTTGGTTTTCTTATGAAGTACTCCGACAGAAGGAAGCCAATTTTTTTTTTTTTGGATTCTTTAAGTATGACCATTTATTTTCTTTCTTAAAGCTGGCCGACAAAGGGAAGCTATCACTGATTTCATTTTGCCTGTGTTAACGGGAAATTTTATAAATTGAAACAATATAAGTTTGGAAAGCCGTACCTGGTCTGAAAAGATCAAAAAGAGAGAACACCCTCCAAAACAAAAAAGTAATAAGGCTGAACATGAAATTAGTTTTCAGTATTTCCATCTAAATACACCCTTAACATAGTTTATAGTGTTTTATTTTTCAACGACAAGAAGCATATACTTCGACTTATGGGATAAATGCACGTCTTGTCCAATTGGCGTCCTATACAGGATGGGAAATCGTAGCTAAGGGGAAGTAAAGATGTATACTTCTAGTTCGCGTAATTAAATTTTCATTTCGTTTTACACTTGATAATTTTTTTATATCTTT